CTAGAGGATTAGGGCCACTGAAAAAAAAAAACTTAACTGATTTTTTTAATTTTATTTCAGTTTAAAATGTTTAAAATTCTGACTTTAATCTCAGAATTTTGACAGATAACAAACATGTTAGCATCAAGCCATAGCTATGTCTGTTTTAGAGACTAGCTCTCTTGTTTTAATGACCTTCTGCTACTCCATTAATGAGGGGACCCCTCAGACACGTAAAAAGTTGCCTAATTCCGTCATTTTCCACCAATGTGTCACTGGCCACCTCAAACAACTCACATCTTTGTCAGTAAATCTGAGTGCTCCCACATCTCTTCCTTCATGGTGCCCATCTACATTAAGATCCAACATTCTGAGATTAAAGTCAGAATTCTGACTTTTTTCCCATATTAAACTGTAAGAAAATTAAAAAATCAGTCAACTTTTATTTATTTTTTTCAGTTGCCCTAATACTCTTCCGTACATAGGTATAAAAAATGACAAAATATATTTTTTAATTATGAAAAACTCACCTTTTTCAGTCTCAACTGATTCACAGATGCTAGAATAAGTGTGCAAATAAATGCAAAATAAATAACCCATATATAGCACAGTTTGACAAGATTTAAAGGTTTTCTGAGGAATTTTTCTTTTAAAAATGTGCAAATAATCCAGAAATTTTAAGTTAAAAAGAGCAAAAGCTTGAAAGCTCTGGTCTTGATACCATGTTAAATTAGTATTAGTATCTGTATACTAGGGCTGAAACAATTAATCAGATTAATTGATTTATTAAAATAATCGTAAACTAATTTAGTAATCAAATTATTTTTAACTGCTTTGGATAAAAGTGTCTGCTAAATACATGAACATAAACTTGAGTGTAGAGCTTATAAAACATCCCTTTAGCTGACAGAGCAAACCTTTTTTTCACTAAGTCTTTTTTAAAGAACCTTTTTCTATCCGATTATTAATCGATTAAGCGAAAAAATAATCGACAGAATACGGGATTTCCTAAATAATCGTTAGTTATAGCCCTACTGTATGCAGGATTTTAGTAACAATACTTCTCAGGGTATAAATAACCCTGAAACAATGTGCCCTGGTTTGTAATTCATTCTCCGTATAAATCCAGCTGTTCTGTGAAGAACATCAATGAGTGGTTATCATCAGAAATATTAATTTAATGGAATAATGTTTTTAAAAAATTTACCGTTTCACACTTTGGAGTTTTTATCTTTGATGATTATAACTATTAGATTAGGTCTGTTCCTTTTTTTTAACCATAAGAGAGACTCTTGCCTTCATTGTGACTCTACTTCACATTGTCCAGGCCTAGAAGGTGCTGCTGCTCAGAGAGCCAAATATGAGGATATTAGTCAGACAGGCATAATTTTTGATTAGAGATTGAAAGATAAAGTTTTTAAGGCTGATTATTTTAACAGCACTGCTGTTGATTATTTTTGCAGGAGCCGATTCTGGAAGCAGACGTTTGCATTTTCTTCCTCCATTTACATGAAAAAAATGACCTAATGTTAAATTTGACTCCAGTCTCAGTTTAAACAAAACATGAACAGGAAATGGCGTGAAAAGGAAGCAATGCGTTCCCTTCATGTGATCTCAAGGCATGGCTGCTGTAGGCACATATCATCCAGTACAAGCAGAGAAATGCTATTATCTGTCAGCTAATGAAATGGTTTATATCTAATTTTGATGAACAGGAATATAGCAATTTATTGTTGTTTTTTTTGTGCTTATTTTTATCCCTGCTTTTTTGTCTCACAAATTGACATTAAAGTTTGTGACTTTGGTCAACATATGAAAAAAACGGCTCTGATATTTCCTCTCATCTGCCACCAGGCCTTTAAGGATGCCCACGTTGAGGCCGTGATGATCCTCGGCGAAGCCTTCGCCTCCGCAGAGCCGTTCGACTTCGGCACTCAGAGCACCACACAGCGCATCCAGAACCTCGTCCCCGTCATGCTGCGCCATCGCCTCACTCCTCCCCCAGAGGAGACCTACTCCCTCCATCGCAAGATGGCCGGCTCCTTCCTGATCTGCTCCAAACTGAAGGCCAACATCCCCTGCAAAGACATGTTCCTGGACGTCTACAACGCCTACATGCAGAGGAGGCAGGCCGAGAGGACGGTGCAAGCCAGCGCCTAGACAAGCTGAGGGACACTTCTAACCGTCCTAGGTCTAAGTATGGAGTATGGAGGAAGCAGAGGTGAGAAGAAAAAATAATGAGGCCAGAGAGCTGGACTGGTCTGTCATCTGTGAAGGTGCGAGTCAAGCAGAGATGCTGCTGTAGAGACAATAATATTTAAAAACTGTCTTATTTTTCTGCTACTGGAGGGAAAAAAAAGGTGGTGGTGATTAATATCACTGATCAAACCTTTTTTTTTTTCAGTTTTGTCTAAGCAGAAACACTGACACAAGTTCTTTGAAGGATATGTATGCCTTTGTCATGGCTTGATGAGAAAAGAAGCCAATTTAAAATCCCTGGACTGCAAGGTCAGTCATATTTCAGAAGAGAAGCTAAATCCTACCTGCAGAGGACGTCTGATGCTGCCGAGTGCTTCCCTTTGCTGGAGGATGAGTCTGAACAAAGCTTTCACCTAAATGTGACGCTCACCAGACTAGATGAGCAGATTATGGAGGAATTAGACAGTCTAATGGAACCATGCAGAATAATGGCCTTGCATATTAAAGTGTACTTGGATTAAAACTCCTCTGTGCTTATTTTAAACTCATCAGCACCACCGTGTCTGAAAATAATGTATTGTTTCCTCGCATACACGCTTTTGTATAAATAAAATGTACGATTTTTAGTGTCTCTATTTAGGTGTTGCCTTTTTTTTTTGATGCTGGGCTCTGATTAAAAGCCAAGGTTTTTCCCTTCTTTCCAGATTGATCTTTCCATTTGGGCTCTTAGACCGATCTGTGGAGGCGTCACTAACTGAAGGCCGTGTTTGACCTCACTCTTTTCCTGCAGCCGTCTTGTATCGACATGCAGGGATGATTACAGGCTTAGATACTTAAGCCTTTAGATAATGGAGGCATCTAATGTGTTAGGGGAGCTTTTTTAAGGAAATCCTGCCAGTTTACCGTCCAATCAAACCATTTTAAACTGTTAGAAATAATACTGGGAGGTATTATTGCTGCTCTGGAAGTCAGGAGCTTGGATCTGGAAACCTCAAACCAAAGTGTTCTAGTCATTTTTGTGTTGCAGAAATATTGGCAATTGAAATGTTTTCAATTTTAATAAAGCATGCTGTCATTTTATGACCGCTTATAGGAAATGGAAAATAAGAAAGTCAGTTTTAAAAAAAATCTCTGGGAAGGAGAAAATGAGTAAACTCTGGATTGGTTCTCAATTAAAATGGCTAATTTACATGAAGGTACGGAAGCCCTGAAGGGAAATTAGACAAAAAATAAATAAATCAAGATTAAACACTTACATTTTTTATTTTTTATTTTTTTTTTCCCACCAAGGCAAGTGGAAAAAACAATTTTAGGGCTAATTTCTGTAATTGTTTTTGTAATACTTTGTTTTACCACTAGAGGCACTAAGGTAATAACACAAACCTTCTCCAAATGAACTCGGAGGCCTGGTTTCTGATAATCAATTTCCCAATTTCTTAATTAGATTTTTGCAAAGTGAAATAAAATACAGTGAAGGTACAGACACTTTTTAAATACGTGGTTATCATATTGACCTTGTGTATTTATAAAGTAACGTAGAACTAAATGGATATTATCTGTCGGACTGTATTTCCCAAATAACTTTAAGCCTTTACTGAGCGCAGGTTTTATCATAACTTGTCACAATGAATTAGACATGGGTGTAAGAAATCATGTGGGAACACTTTGAATATGAATGCTTTGATGAATATATGTACGTATTAGTTAATTCCTTTATATTTCAGCTATAACAGCTAAATAAAGTCACTGGAAAAACCTAAACGGTTTTTGATAAACTGGGAAACAACACTAGATCTCTTAGTCTATTTTGTTTTATAACTACCTGAAATGTTTGCAGCAACTAGTTTTCCATAAGATGCTGCTTAAAGCAATGCTAATTTACTTTCAGTTTTGGTTGATTTTGGCTCCCCCCAGTGGACAAAAGCTGTGTTTTGCTTGAAGGAAGACAACATTTCCCACGAGGAAGAGCCCATAGGCCGGTATAGTCCTGATCTTCCTGTCGTTGGATTGAACTTCATTTCTGTTACCACTAGCTTTATGAACGATGGATAGCGATAAGGTAATGAATCTGGAAAAACAATGTCCTATTACAATGTAAAAATAATAAACTTTAAACCTGTTTTGTATCATATTCCTGCACCGCTGCCCCTGTGGCTGAGTCTTTAACCCCTAAAAGGTCTTAAAGGTTAAAGTATGGACACTTTGTTCAGTTCTGTTAATGATTATAACTACTGCAGTTATCCGAACTGACTTAAGTAATAGTTTTTTTTTTTTTTTCACAACAAAAATATTTTTTCAGCCTCCAAAAAATGCCTTTTTTTAGTGTCCTTTCCTATGGTTGAATCTCTTAAAATGTTAATAGAGGAAATAGTTGATTATAAACTAAATGCAGCACAAATTTCCTACCTGTTGTGAAGCATGGAGGTGAAAGTGTCATGGTTTGGGGATGATTTACCGCAGTAGGAACCCCCCCGAGCGTACAGTTGGTGAGTCAATCATGTCAGAGAGTGCTAGCCTTTAGCCTGATTTGTAATAAATCGGATGGAAGGTGATGGCCGTTTCGATTATTGGTCAAGAAAGAAACCGCAAGAACTAATTAACGTCATCAACTGAATGTGTTAAGAAAACCCACACATGTAGGGGAGAACTCCACGCAGAAAGACCCCACAGCAGGATTCAGAAACCAGACTTTGTTGTAAGGCAAAAGTGTTTCCACCTGAGTCACAGTCACATAATTACGGAAGAGGATTAGGGCCACTGAAAAAAAAAAAAAAAGGTTAACTGATTTTTTAAATTTTATTTCAGTATAATATGGGGAAAAATTTAGAATTCTGACTTTAACCTCAGAATTCTGACTTTTTCCTCAGAATTCTGACTTTAATCTCAGAATTGTGACTTTTTTCTCAGAATTCTGACTTTTTTATTGTCAGAATTAAGTCAGAATTCTGAGATAAAAGTCAGAATTCTGAGATAAAAGTCAGAATTCTGACTTTTTTATTGTCAGAATTAAGTCAGAATTCTGAGAAAAAAGTCAGAATTCTGACTTTTTCCTCAGAATTCTGACTTTAACCTCAGAATTCTGAC